CCCGCCCTCCACATCCCATCCAGTTCCTGGCCAATGCCAATTTGAGGGCTTGAAGAAGGCCCAGCTACCTCAGAGACAACCCTGCCATTTACAACACACCAGTACAGCTGAATAGTGTATTAGATTTGTGTTCCAGAAGCATTGCAGTATTGAATATCTGGCTGCCATTACAAACAGTAACTAGAGTTCTCAATGAGAAATGTCAGGAAAGTATTAAATTAAATATATACTTGAAAAAAGGAAACTCAAATGTAATAGCCCCTGGTTGAATTATGACAGCTCTATATAATGAAGGGTGTGACCCACAACCTGTGTCTGGGGGAGAAAAGGTTTAAACTCTCAATGAGCAGAGAAGGCAAGCCAGGTGTCTGTTCAACTGCAAAGGTTGCACTGGGGTGGAAAAGGCACCCTTTGCTGTGTGTCCCTGCAGAGCCCTAGTTTTAAATCCTGAAAGCTGGACAAGGAATAGATGCTGATGGTTGTCAGCTGACTATGCCAGAATATACAGGAGTGTAGTTGGTTTAACACTGATCATCAGTACAAGAACTTAATTATCTCCTGGAGCTGAAATATTTCAGACACATTAGCCCTTCAGACACTGTGTTTTAATATGGCTAAATATAAACGTATACAAAGAATGTAGGTCATACTTACAGAATGGGAGATGCTATCCTAGGAAGCAGTGTCTCAGAGATTTGGGACTCATGGCAGACATGAACATGAGATTCCAGTGAGATGATGTAGCCAAAAGGGCTAATGCCAACCTGCATAAACAGAGGAAATCTTGAGTAAGTAGAGAAGTTATTTTACCTCAGTATTTGGTATTGCTGTGACCACTGCTGGAATACAGTGTCCAGTTCTGGTGTCGTCAGTTCAATAAGGATGTTGATAAATTGGAGATGGCTCAGAGAAGACACTTGAGAATTATTAAAGGATTAGAAAACATGGCTTACAGTGATAGATTCAAGGACCTCAATCTATTGATCGTAACAAAGAAAGTTCAGAGGTGACTTGACCACAGTGTATAAGTACGCAGGTGATAAGTACTCCAGTACGCAGATGATTGTGCTGTAGTTGCACACTCAAAGGAGGATCTTCAAACAGCCCTTAATGGCTTCTCTGGAGCTTACAAATGCCTAGGGCTAGCTCTGAACATCAGCAAAACAAAAGTTCTCCACAAGCCAATCCCCAGTCAATCATCAGACCCAGCAGGGAAGATCTATATCGACAAAGAAGATCTGAAAAATGTAGAATCCTTTGCCTATCTTGGCAGCTATCTCTCACAGAGGGCAGATATAAACAGAATTCGCTGTGCCAGCCTTGCCTTTAGAAGACTGTCTCACAGGGTGTTCAACAATCACTTCATCAGAATTTGTACTAAACTTTTAGTTTATAAAGCGGTGGTAATCCCAACTTTCCTCTACAGCTGTGAAACTTGGGTGACCTACAGAAAACACCCGAAAAACCTGGAATGCCAGCACCAGCATTTTTTTCTGAAGATCCACAACATCAAGTGGGAGGATCATTACACAAATGTCAGTGACCTCACAGATGCCAACATCTTCAGTGTTGAGGCCCTGATTATCCAGCACCAGCTGAGGTGGAGCGGGCACTGTGTGCACATGCCTGATGTACGCTTACCAAAACAACTGCTGTATGCCCAACTCACTAAAGGAGAAAGGAAATGAGGAGGCCAAAAGAAACGCTTTAAAGACACCTTCAAGGTAAACATCAAGAGTGGTCAAGTATTAGGGGGTAGCCATGTTAGTCTGTATCCACAAAAACAACAAGGAGTCCGGTGGCACCTTAAAGACTGACAGATTTATTTGGGCATAAGCTTTCATGGGCTAGAACCCACTTCATTGGATGCATGGAGTAAAAATTATAGATCCAGGCATTATTATACTGACACATGAAGAGAAGGGAGTTACCTCACAAGTGGAGAACCAGTGCTGATGGGGCCAATTCGATCAGGGTGGATGTAGTCCACTCCTAATAATAGATGAGGAGGTGTCAATTCCAGGAGAGGCAAAGCTGCTTTTGTAATGAGCCAGCCACTCCCAGTCCCTATTCAGACCCAAATTAAAGGTGTTAAATTTGCAAATGAATTTTAGTTCTGCTGTTTCTCTTTGAAGTCTGTTTCTGAAGTTTGTTTTGTTCAAGTATAGCTACTTTTAAATCTGTTATAGAATGTTCAGGAAGATTGAAGTGTTCTCCTACTGGCTTTTGTATGTTATCATTTCGATGTCTGATTTGTGTCCATTTATTCTTTTACGTAGGGACTGTCCGGTTTGGCCAATGTACATGGCAGAGGGGTACTGCTGGCACATGATGGCATATATAACATTAGTAGATGTGCTGGTGAATGAGCCTCTGATGGTGCGGCTGATGTGGTTGGATCCTCTGATGATGTCGCTAGAGTAGATATGGGGACAGAGTAGGCAACAAGGTTTGCTACAGGGATTGGTTCCTGGGTTAGTGTTTCTGTGGTGTGGTGTGTAGTTGCTGGTGAGTATTTGCTTCAGGTTGAGGGGCTGTCTGTAAGCGAGGACTGGCCTGCCTCCCAAGGTCTGTGAGAGTGCGGGATTGTTTTCCAGGATAGGTTGTAGATTGTTGATAATGTGCTGGAGAGGTTTTAGCTGGGGGTTGTACGTGATGACCAGTGGTGGTCTGTTATTTTCCTTGTTGGGCCTGTCCTGTCGTAAGTGATTTCTGGGTACCTGTCTCGCTCTGTCAATCTATTTCCTCACTTCCCCAAGTTGGTATTGTAGTTTTAAGAATGCTTGATAAAGATCTTGTAGGTGTTTGTCTCTGTCTGAGGGATTGGAACAAATTCGGTTGTAGCTTAGGGCTTGGCTGTAGACAATGGATCATGTGATGTGTCCTGGATGGAAGCTGGAGACATGTAGGTAAGTATAGCGGTCAGTAGGTTTCCGGTATAGGGTAGTGTTTATTTGACCATCACTTATTTGCACTGTAATGCAAATCAAGAGATGTGGCATCAACACCACACCCTGGGAGACAGCAGCCCAGGATAGGGATAACTGGCGAAGACTTGTCAGAGAGGGAATGTCCACTTTTGAGGAAAATTGCCTTGCCCTGGTCGCAGAAATATGCTAGAAAAGAAAGGCAACTGTCATGCAGCAATTGTGGCTCAACCCTATCTTTCAACACCACCTGTAATGACTGCCAACGAGCCCGTGGCTCAAGAATCAGACTCTTCAGTCACCAAAGGACCCATGAAAAATAAAACCTGTGAAAGAGATCATCCCTGACCCTGAGGGATCGTCGATGACAATAAGTACCTACATGAGGAACAATTATCTAATAATAGGCTCTTCAATCTAGCACACAAAGGTATAATGTGAGCCAATGGCTGGAAGTTGAAGTTGAAGCCGCAGAAATTCTGACTGGAAAAAAGGAACAAAAAATTTTAACAATCAGAGTAAACAACCATTATAACCACTTATTAAGGGTCATGGTGGAGTCTTCATCACTGACTATTTTAAAATCTAGACTGGATGTTTTTCTAAAAGATCTGCTCTCGAAATTATTTTGGGAAGTTCTCTGGCCTGTGTTATACAGGAGGTCAGACTAGATGATTACAGTGGGCCCTTCAGGCCTTGGAGTCTATGAAATCAACTGTTAGTTGTCATGAACAGTAAAATATATATTGTTCAACTCAATTAATTTAAAGTGATGCCTTGAAAGATTTATTTAAAGTAAGCTTCAAACAAACAGATGTTTTAGAAACAGTAGCAAATTACTTTTATGCCTTTAAAATATTGTAGCATATTAGCTAGCATGCCTGCCCTCTGCTGGAGAGAACAAGGGTTGCTCAGCCATCTGGCAGCAGGCTCTATACTGGTGACAGAGATTAAGAGCCTAGGCTTTTGGAGTAGGACGAGCTGAGGCTCTGAAATTTCATGTGGCCATGCACATAGCATGGTGACAGAGATGATATTCATAGTTGGTATCAGATCTGTGACAATATGAATTTTAAATATTCTAGGACTGGGGGGAACCTCAAAAGCGCTATACGTCAGGTGCATTTAGTATGATCACTCAAAATTTGGAGATTTTTTTGAACTTTCCAAGCTCCTAGATTCTGCAGAATTGCACTGGAAATCCTGAGTGCCGGGTGTCTCTATTTTCCATTTCTACAGCTGAAAATTCCACAATTAGAGCCTCTCTCAAGGGATTTTGTCATTTCTGGTTTTGAATCTTGCCAGAACTAGAAGGGAGGAAGGGGAAGTGGGGGAAAGAGGGGACCTACATAAACACTGAACCTACCTAAACATTTTGGAATCTCACAAAACATTCAACAAGGGACTGAGTCTAGAAATGAGCAAATGTTCCTGGGGAAAATTCTGAGTTACTGCTTCACTGTATAGATTGTGAAGTATTTTATAGACTAGGGGGAGCTTTACAGTACAGGGCCTAGCACAATGGGGAGCTGTTTCCTGACTGGGGCCTCTGAGCATCATAACAATATAAATAATAATTCACTCCGCCCTAAATATTCTCTTCTATAAAGGTTTTATTGCACTCCTCACCATAGTATGTGGGCCCAATCCTGATAATAAGGGCCTAATCCCAGTCCCAGTTCGTTCATTGCGAATGTTGCCATTGACTTCAGTGAGAAACAGGATGGGCACCTATGTGCCACAGTAACGGGGGAAGCCAATTTAATGAAATGGGTCCTGAGTTTTGGCCCTATGAGAAATCCCATGAGCAGCCACACCTGTGAGGAGCTGCGGGGTCCGCCTCGCAGACGGGAATTTACCAGGAGAACCAGCTCCCTCCTCTCCTAACAAGAGCGATCAATCACTCGCCAAGGGGAACCGCTCCACCGAGGGAGGACACCTGAGCTTTACAGCGGGCCGGGACTGCAAGCTTGGAAACTCCCTCGTTGGCAGCCTGGACTTGTGAAGCGTTAGGACCCAGGGGAAAGGCTGCTGCCGCCGGTGTAATGGAAAGCCCTGGGCAGGTAAGGAAGCCAGTGCCTCGGGGAGACAAGCGAAGAAGGCAGAGAGCTGCGCCACCAGGATCGCTTTCAGGGGTAGACAGGCGGGGAGCGGCTGAGCCCAGCCCCAGCCGTGATACGGGAGCAGGCGGGGGAAGCCCTGGCAATAAAAGCTTCAGAGCCAGCTGTGTACAGGAGGGTCGGGGAGAGGCTGAAGCTGGGAGGGAACCGCACTGAGCCTGCAGGTAGCTGGGGCAAGGTCCAGGAGCGGGGTGCCGGGGTAGGAGCCAGCTGTGCAGAGGAGGCTGGGGGAGAAATGCTGGGCACGGAGGGCTCGAGCCAGCTGTGCGCAGGGGCAGTGAGGGAGAGACACTAGGCGGCGAGGGCTCGAGCCAGCGGCGTGCCGGGGCGACTGGGGAGGGCAGGTGCAAGCGCCGTCCGCTCTGCAGCATGGCGAGGGAGCCCGGCACCCAGCTGCCAAGTGCCCTGCCCGCCCAGAGGAAGCTCCGCAGCGGTTTTGCCAAGCCCCGGCCCCTGTGAGGAGGGGAGAAGTTGGCGGCGAGTCTCGCACAGTAGTCAGCCCCCAGCCTCTGCCTAGCCCCGCCGCCCGCCGGGAGGAGGATGAGGAGCCGCCCTGCCCAGGGGGAGACTGCCGAGGTAAGCAGCCCAGTCCCCGGGACCGTCAGCGGTATCGGCGGGGGGTCAGAACGGGAACCCCAGCAGCTGGCGCCCGGGGGTTTCCCTGCGGGGCAGCCCCTCTCTTTGGGATCTTCGGTGCAGACTCGCCTGACGCGGGGGATCTTGCTGGTCTGTTTGAGGAGGCGCCAAAGTTCTGGGCTCTCCCGCGCTCCGCCTGTCCCAGCCTCGCCGGCCCTTTTAACTCTCAAGGGGATGCGACAGCGGGTTAAAGGGTTTTCCTGTTGCACTAAACGTAGCTAAAAAGCGCAGCGGAAGCCCCTAACTGAAACATGACCCCTCTGTAAGGGGCTAGCAGCAGCATGTGCTTGGTTACTTACCCACTCTGAAAACCCGGGCAGAGGTCTTCTGAACATGTGCTCCCTTTCAAACAAACTACTCGGTGTTAGTGAATGAAGTTGCTCTGTCCTTCAAAGGCCTAATAAAGAAACCCACAGGCCCCTGCCAACCTCAACCCCATGTCTTGCATTGTTGCACTCTAACATTAGGGAAAGTTTCCAGGGCCTTATATTGTGACGGTGCCTTCTCTTTGCCAGATGCAGCCAGCCCGCTCTCTTTGGCAAATTGCAGGAGTGAGTTGGCAATGTAGCTACATAACCGATAAAGCACTTATTTTGAAGGAGTGTCAGACAATCCCCACAAGTAAGTGGTGGGCTCTAGAAACAGTTGAGTTGATGTCCCCCCTTAGGTAACCACTAATCTGAAGACTAAAGTTTAGCGTTACAGGTTTCACAAGAACTGCATTATTGTAAACCCACACTGCCACAGCAACCTGCTCTGTAATTCATGCTGTGCCTGGCTATTGCAACAAGTGTTACCTAAGAGTGACTAGGAACAGAGTTAGGAGAAGGTGTTGAAGAAATTCTGATTAGGGCCTTTAACTGTAACCATTTGGTTTGTTGGTATTTAAAAATGTAAATATTAAGAGCTGATTGGGGTGTGAATTGACATATATGTATATAAACCTGATGCACATACAAAATGTAAAATATTAGAGTGCAGATTATCATTCCATGCTGATATATACAAGGCTCCTGTGCAAGCAAAACAAACTAATGCACTGATCCTGCAAACTGTTGTGTATGCTTAACTTTATGTATGAGACTGTTCATGTGTGTAAAGTTAAAGACATGCATAAGTGTTTGCTAGATCAGGGCATTAGTTTTTATAACTTCACTGAATCTTTGTCACTTTTGCTAATGGGATAAAGAGAGTTCCGTGTAATTTCAGCTGGCAAAGTATCAGTTGTAGACATTAGTAATGGCTAACGATCTGCTCATGAGAGGGGCTGAGCACCCACAATTTCCATTGACTTGAGTGGGAAGTCAAATTGAGTCAGTGGGACTCTGAAGGGATCCATCTATGTGCAACAGCTTGCAAGATTGGGGCTTTTGTTTTTATTACACCTCAAATCAACATATGCTAAGTTATAATATGCTTTGTCTCTTAACTCTGGTCTATTAAACTCCAAGTATCATTTGTGAATTAGAAGTGGCTTCAAAACATCCTGTGCTAAAGCCAGGCTGTACTTTTGTTAATGCATTCTGTGTGTTTGGGTTACTGGGTGTGTTCAGATACTCTCGTCATTAAAGTAGCACTGTAAGAACAAAGACTGGTTGTAATTAAGCTCATCTTATAACTTTCTTTAAGCATTAGGCATGCTGCCATACTGAAGGCAACACATTTCACTAGTTAAGAATGAAAGGGCAAATATTGTGGCACTGAATCTCCTTTAATTTATACTGGTGTAAATTGGCAGTAACTCCACTGAAGTCAATGGAGTTGTAACAATGAGAGGAGGAGAACTAGGCCCTGGCCTTTCCTCACTAGCAAATCTAGCAACCAATAGTAGAAGTAGTTTGTGTTCAAAGATGTTCATTCCTGCACTCTGGGTTAAACTGACAATAATACTCTTTTAACTTGGACTTTGCTTAATTGAGATGGCACTGTTTATTTCAGTTAATCAGTGGGTCTTGTCTGACCATTAGCAAAACTACTCATTCCCTTCTTTCTTTAGGCTTTTATTTAATTTTGCAACCTAGCTAACTGTATTTAGAGCAAGCTAGTATATTTCTTCAGATGCCTTAAATCTGGTAAATATCCTCACTCTAATCTTCCTCAGACAAATCCCTAACTCCCCAAACACAGAATTTGGGACCTGTTCCTTTTGAAGTCAAGGGTCAAACTCTCACTGACTTCAAAGAGAGCTTTGTGTTAAATCCTGTTATCCTCCCAGTGAATAATACTACTCGGTTTCCCTGGTAGCCTGATGGTTGCATCAATGGATGATCCCCCTCTTCCTCCAGCCATCTAGATGGTGAGAGAATTGTTAATGATAATGGGGAGGTGTTACAGTTAAAATGTTCTAAATATATTTTACTTGGATAGCAAACACACATCTAAGATTTTCATTGGGACCCTTAGAGAGAACAATCAGCGATTGGGGATACATAATGAACTCTGAATACATTTTATGTAAATATGAGAGGCAGTGGCTTCAAAGTAAGTGTGTGTGTGTGGATTCTGAATAAGAATCTGCTTATGGATTTCCCAGAGGTCCTGATCCTGCAAATAGTTAAGCACATTCTTAACTTTACTCATAGGAGTAGTTCCATTGAACTTCCAAGACTTACTCATGTGAATATAGCGGCAAAGAGTCCTGTGGCACCTTATAGACTAACAGGCGTACTGGAGCATAAGCTTTCATGGGTGAATACCCACTTTGTCGTCATGTGAATATAGTTAAACGTGAGCATAAATATATGTAGGATTGGAGCCTAAACTAGGAAGAGAGTTAGATCCTGGGTTTGGTTTGAACCTATCAGTATTGCATAATGTCTCCTAGCTATGTTAGCACATCAGAACATACAGAATTAGCTAGGTCACATCTCTTCTGCTTAGTATGTGTGTTTGTCTGACAGTCATCTTAGCTAGGTGTTACCTTGTCAGTGCTTTACTATTATTATTATTACTATTTAAAACCCTAAAACCACCCTCATTATAAATGCTGATGCTTATCTTCTCTCTGGATTGCACCCTTGCTTTTGTTCTGAAATTCTGTACTCTAGTGAAAATTGAAAATATTTGACCAGCTCTAGCGAGGAGTTCATTTTCATGAGCTGTCTGTCCATACACCAAAAATATCTTAAGTGTGTCTTACATAGTCTTGGCGCTCAAGAGATCTGGATTCTATTCAATGCTCTGCTTAGTGTGTTTCTTTGAGCAAGTCACTAAGGGACACATTTTCAAAGTTGAGCCCTCAATCTAGCCTAAGACACCGAAGTGATAAGATCTCTTCTGCCTATGGTATTCTCTCCCGGTTATAGTGTTTGTGAATACTTACAAATGACTCCAGTTCTTCAAGTATCAAAGGCATAGCAGAATACCTGATAGTTCTGTTCTCTCGCTACTCTTCTTCCATCTCACGTAAGAAAGAGGAGAGAGACTTCTGGGTGCAAAAACATCTTGGAATCACAATAAATTTTAGAACATGTTAGATAAAGTAAACCTCTTATACTTAAACTAGATTATAAAGTAACTGTTGATGACTAGGATAAATTCAATATTCTTCTGGGTTAGAATGGATGAAGTCTTTCATGTTGGAACTACTGCCACATTTTCACTAAAAGTCACGTTCTTCTTGCAGAAGTTTCATTCTCAGGGTATGTCTACACTACGGAATAAGGTCGAATTTATAGAAGTCGTTTTTTAGAAATCGGTTTTATATATTCGAGTGTGTGTGTCCCCACAGAAAATGCTCTAAGTGCATTAAGTGTATTAACTCGGCGGAGTGCTTCCACAGTACCGAGGCTAGAGTCGACTTCGAGAGCGTTGCACTGTGGGTAGCTATCCCACAGTTCCCACAGTCTCCGCTGCCCATTGGAATTCTGGGTTGAGATCCCAATGCCTGATGGGGCTAAAACATTGTCGCGGGTGGTTCTGGGTACATATTGTCAGGCCCCCCTTTCCTCCCTCCCTCCCTCCGTGAAAGCAAGGGCAGACAATCGTTTCACACCTTTTTTCCTGAGTTACCTGTGCAGACGCCATACCACGGCAAGCATGGAGCCCGCTCAGGTAACCGTCACCGTATGTCTCCTGGGTGCTGGCAGACGCGGTACGGCATTGCTACACAGTAGCAGCAACCCCTTGCCTTGTGGCAGCAGACAGTGCAATACGACTGGTAGCCGTCATCGTCGTGTCCGACGTGCTCCTGGCCACGTCGGCCGGGAGCGCTTGGGCAGACGTGGGCGCAGGGACTAAATTTGGAGTGACTTGACCAGGTCATTCTCTTTAGTCCTGCAGTCAGTCCTATTGAACCGTCTTATGGTGAGCAGGCAGGCGATACAGATTGCTAGCAGTCGTACTGTACCATCTTCTGCCGAGCAGCCATGAGATGTGGATGGCATGCAGTCCTTCTGCACCGTCTGCTGCCAGCCAAAGATGTAAAAGATAGATGGAGTGGATCAAAACAAGAAATAGACCAGATTTGTTTTGTACTCATTTGCTTCCCCCCCTCCCCTGTCTAGGGGACTCATTCCTCTAGGTCACACTGTAGTCACTCACAGAGAAGGTGCAGCGAGGTAAATCTAGCCATGTATCAATCAGAGGCCAGGCTAACCTCCGTGTTCCAATAAGAACAATAACTTAAGTGCACCATTTCTTATTGGAACCCTCCGTGAAATCCTGCCTGAAATACTCCTTGATGTAAAGCCACCCCCTTTGTTGATTTTAGCTCCATGAAGCCAACCCTGTAAGCCATGTCGTCAGTCGCCCCTCCCTCCGTCAGAGCAATGGCAGACAATCGTTCCGCGCCTTTTTTTCTGTGCGGACGCCATACCAAGGCAAGCATAGAGGCCGCTCAGCTCACTTTGGCAATTAGGAGCACATTCAACACCACACGCATTATCCAGCAGTATATGCAGCACCAGAACCTGAAAGCGATACCGGGCAAGGAGGCGACG